CTATAGGCCCCGCCTATCCTCTGACGTCATCGACACAGCCAGCTGGACTCACGGGTCTTGATAGTGCTGGGCATCTCTCTGACCTGGAAAAAGGGCGTAGTGGGGTGGGGGTGGAGGGGGGAGTTGGAAAGGGCGGGAGAGTGGTTAAAAAAACAACAACTCCAAAACTGGGTACAGTTTATCTCTAAAGTAAATTCCACTGAAGTTTTAATGAGTGTCCCTTTAAACCTTTTGTCCAAAATCAATCAAACAAACAAACCATCTCCCAAAACAAAACAGAACAAAACAAACAAAAACGCCTTCTTTTAGATCCCTTAAATTTGGTTGGCGGAGGAAGTCATACATTCATCAACATTATACAACAACTCAACATAACACCAATACAAACACTCAACACACCATTGCTGGTCTTTTTTTTCTTAGCAAGGATTATTGGACATGGACCACGAACAAGACATTAGAGCAAAGAATTACAACATGTGAAATGCGATGTCTTAGAAAAGCAGTAAACAAGACCAGGCGGGAAAAAATTAGAAACACAGTAATCAGAGAAATAATGGTGGGCATAAATGATGTCATGCATCACATTCAACACCAAAGAATCAAATGGTTCGGGGATATCTCATGCGATTACCAACACACCACCCAGCACAACGTGCCTAAATAAAAAAATTCGATAGCACAAGGCCAGAGGGTGACTAAGAAAGACCTGGATGGTAGTGGATAGATGGAGTCAGGGAAACATTAACAACTCACGGCATCCCCCTGGCCCAAGCTCTCCGGCTGGAGGCAGAGAGACGTTTCTTTCTTTTCGCGACACCCAAAAGGGTATAAGAGGTGGATAAAGGTAAAAGTAAAAGCTCAAAGGAACACCCCAATGGCCACCTATCAAATCACCATGCCACTGACACACGCTTAGTATTACAGCCAACCCGGGCTCACTGAACACTCGGCTGTTGGATTTCATTATCAGGTATCATCAAGAGCTAGATTTGCAACATGGTTCTCAATTCAATTCTTTTAGTTTAGTTTTAGTAGAGGTTTTACGGCGCTCACAACTGTATAAGGTCATGTGAGCCAGTTCAATTCTTTGATGGGATGCTGTCAAACAACTTATATTATTCTCGTCTTCACCCGTCGCCCATCTTTCCACACAGGTTGCTCTGGGTCTACCCCTGCCAAGACAAATTTCTTCCCTGAGAGATGAATAAAGATTGTCACTGTCCTTGTCATTATTTGCCTTAAATACTACAGATGAGAAATATATTCATACCCTATTCCCTTCTCTCCTCCTACCATAATCTCCTTCTCACACCCCCATTCCCCTACCTCCTACCCTACCCCCATCCCCCTGCACACCATAAACTCCTCCTCCACACCCCTTCCCCTCCCCCTACCCCATTACTTCATACTCCATCCCTTCTCTCATAACCCATTACTTCA